CTTACAAATGTGCCAGAACAAGTATCACTCAGGGCATGAAAAGAACTCTACTAAGACTCTTTTAGTCAAATCTAGTCTTTGAGATTTTAGAGCAATATGATTTGGGCAACTAATTATTGCTTACTTCATTATAAATAATAAACATAACCATGAATTTGGGAAATTGAGTTTGTAATAGCTCCCTTTATAGCTATTTTTGTGATCTTTGATCAAGATTACTAAACTTGATCAAACTTTTCTGACTTCTATGTAAAAACAATGATGACATAATTATTAACTAGATTCATGTTTACTGGGAATGTTAGTGACTATGATCAGTATAGTGCTGTAGTGCACAGTCAAGGAAATATGATGAATATAATAAAACTGAATGCCTTTGTGTAAGGAAGGGGGCAAAATACACGAAGTGTGGGTTAAATTAGAAATTTCTTCATTAGGCTCAGGCGTTTGAATACTTGTCACCTACTTGATGGTGCTGTTTGGGGAGTTTTAGGTTGTATCAAATATTGTTACTGTTTAGAGACTATTCTGCTTATATAGTTTTACATCCGCATTGGTGGTATGAGGAGAATTCTCATATGTTTCCTTAAGAAACTGTGGTAAAGCCGGGGGAGTAAGTAAGTCCATTAGAAAGTCAGCTTGATTTCTAAATTCTTCCAACTCTGAGCTGTGAGACACTGGCAGTTCTTTATTTCCCATTACCTTTAGGGAAAAAAAAAAGATCTTTCATGGTTGGACTATACAACACTGAAAAACAATCAACTTTCTCTAGCTAAAAAAGCTTAATATATATCTTCTGATTCAAGATGTAGATGTGTGTTTAATATCTATGTTTTGTTAGCTTTGTTATATAAATGGCCAAAGAGTGAAATAAGGAGCTATAAGACTTACACTGATTAACAAAATATGTCCAACTGTTTAATATAGGAAAGAAATATTTTAAATACACATGACCATGGAAGTGCACAAATATATTTCTAGCCATCGAAAGAAAATAGCAAAATAAGTGTCAGTTTGAGGTCAACCTAAGCTATACAATAAGAGTATGTTGACAAATAAATATATTTCATAGAATATGCAAACTATCCATAAACTTAAGTTCATACCTGATCACTAACCTGAGAATGTAAATGTTGAGGTGTTTTCTTCCATATCAACTTTAATCTATTGCTTCTCAAAAATAGTTGTTCATTATAAACATGTTTGTTTATTTTTATTAGCACTAGATGGACAACAATCTGTTCTGTTAAACCAGAAACTCAAATGGATACCCTGTAAAGAAGGACAAGATTAATGAACATATTATTTTCTATTTCTATCAGAAGCACAAAGTATACTTGAGAGGTTAAAGGTTATCTTATTGATTAGTCAGTGATGTTCCAAAGAAGGACATGTTGATTCAGCAGGTAGTGTTATAAAAGCTCCATGCTGGCTGATCACAGCTGTGTCAGGCAGAAGGATCTCCATGGATACAGCTGTGGCCCTAGTGTTTAGCCTCTGCTGTTTGCTTCTCCTCTCACTCTGGAGAAAGAGCTCTGAGAGAGGGAAGCTCCCTCCTGGTCCCACTCCTCTCCCAGTTTTTGGTAATTTTTTCCAAATAGATGTGAAGAACTTCAGCCAATGCTTGACCAATGTAAGTATTCTTTGTGATCCTCCAGTACCTTGAAAAAGAAGATAAACTGAAAGTTGTTTTAGATGAAAATCTAGTATTAGAGGCAATATTGTTATAAATAATCAGAAAGTCAAACTCTTGCGAAGTATTATATATCTTATGACTCTTTTTTAAAATTTATTTATTCATTTATTAAAAATTT